AAAGTTCTGACTTTGGTGTTGGTTGACATAGAGTTGTTTTGAGTTCCAGATGTTCTCTAGTTGTAAATATGCTGCACTTGCTTTGCCGATTCCCGCCTTCACATCTACATCAGATCCACCGTGTTCGTCAATAAAGCTGCCCAGATATGTAATGGATTTTACATCTTCCAAAGCTTCTCCGTCAAGTTGGTTGGATTGGACTATTATTACATATATTCTTATTGAATAACCATGAAGTAACTAGATTATGTATATATTCATATTCCTTTTATCATAAGCTTTCATTTGACTTATTGGCTACTGTTCCACGATAATTTATAATCAACTTATTCCCAGTTTTTGAATAATGTAAAAAGGTACATGAATAAATCGATGACTAATATGATCATAACACAAAAACAATTAGAAAAATACAGTTATGTCAAAGACTGGTCATTAGGGTAGTGAAACAGAGTACCAAAGATTGTGCTTATATTACAATAGCTTTGGAAGAGAGATGGTTATGTCAGTAAATCGTACATCTCAAACAAAAGCTTATGGTTTATAGAATAAAATAGGGACAAAACTAAGTGAAATAACTTTTTAATCAAAGATGGATAGTGGCTAGCAGTGGAATCCAGGACGCTTGTTCCGCGCTATTTGGGACTAGTCAGCTGAATGTGCCTGCATCCCAGAGTTGATGTTCAATTCAGGACTCCAACCGAGTACCGTTCGCTTTAAACGCCATTGCGTTATCCACTTGTCTAGTGAATCCTGATTGCAACCTTCTTGTGCAACGGGGTGAGGTTTAAACTCACTTTGTGATGTTTTACTCGTATCTTTCCACTTTTATCAAGGATTGCAATTGATCAATCTCTTATTGACATATGTGCATCCTGTGCAGATTGCCTTGATATAACCTCAAGTCAAAAGCTTTTTAAACAAAGACTGATCAATTCCAGTCCTAAATATCAATGGAAAGATACAAATAAAACAATACCAAGTGAATATACATCAACGAACGTTCCCATAAATAGTTTCCGTTGTTTGTCATAAGTTTTTTGATCTCTATTCACATCAGCGAGTTTGATTTTTTCTTAAAAAATAATTCAATGACTATCTATCAAAACTCGAACCCAGTACCGTTCGCTTCGAATGCCATCGTGTTATCCACTTAGCTACTGCGTCCTGATAGCAGGTTCATGCAAGTACATCCAGCTGACGAGTCCCAAATAGGACGAAACGCGCGTCCTGGATTCCACTGCTAGCTACTATCTATCTTTGCTTTAAAAAAGCTTGTGACTTAAGGCCAATCAGAGACCGATCAATTGCAGTCCTAAACGTCAACAGGAAGATTCATATAAAACAACACCAACTGAATTTAATTAATCACAAATAATATTGGCTTTAATCAACAAATTATCTATTCATATTAATAACCCAAAAGACAACAATGTTTAAGTATTCATAGTAGTAATCATTGAATATACCCACTACATACCGTGAATAAACATTATAAATTCTATAGTACATTTAATATTTATTTAGACAGAGTATGACATATAACTTCGCCTGTAGCTCTTCTAGAGTTACTGCCACTCTCAAACCCAGGTAAAGAGCTTTTTTGTTTTTGCTTAGGACTAAGCTGTGCGCATCTACGTTCTCTAACGCGGAAATCGAACCCAGGACTTCCAATTTCTCTTGGGGATGCTTAACCTGTAGACCACTGACCGATATCCAACGGTGTTAATGTCTAACTTCCATCCATCCATGAATCGCTACGCAATCATTCATCCATAGTCTGAGGTAGATACCTACCTCTACCCGACACTCATTGACAAATGCACCGTCTCTAATCGTGCTTACAGAACCACGCTTACTAATGAGTGTTCTTCAATACTATTCCCGTTTTATTCCTGATTCTTCTTGTCGTGCTAATAGTTTATTTAATATTTTGACGCCCAATTCATTTAAATGGGGTGAGGAAAGAGAGTCATGCTGATGAAGTCTTCTAGAGTTTCTTCAAAATGGTGCTGTTCTTCTAACTTACTCTCCTAGTGTACATTATGTTCTCAATACTGATGCATCACCTGTGGGTATTGGTGGAGTTTCGGAACGAGAAGGTAAACCTGTTACCTGTGTTTCACACAAACTTACTGTTGCTAAGCAAGATTACTCACAAACTCAGTGAGAAGGATTAGCTGTGTTTTGGGCCGTCAAAAGACTTAATAAATATTTATTCGGAAAGAAATTCACAATTGTTAGTGATCGTGAAGCTTTAAAGTTCAGCTATCACGTTTCTCAGCTGCTATGGTTCAACGATGGAGTATTGCTATAAGTGCCTATGACTATACGGCTCAGCACAGGAGTGCCAAATAAATTTAACATATTGACTATAATTCTCGACAATCATTACAAGATAGACCTGTTAATACTTCACACTGTTTGTTAGAGCAAACCTCACCAGTGAGACGTTCAGATCTCACTAAAGAAACTCGTAGATACTTTGGTGCTATACGGAAAAGCTGGAATGGTAATCTGAAACATGGATTTCTTGTCTATTTTTCAAAGTAGGATGACTTATCCACTACTCTTGATGATATTTTTTGGTCAAATGGTCATGTTATTATTTCTAATTCATTACATAAATCTGTCCTTGAAGATCTTCATAGTGGACATTGAAGTGTTGAGAAAATGAAGGCCTTGGCAGGGTTCACATGTTGTTGGTCGGAGATAAATGCTGATATATATTTCGTACAGTAAACAATAATGGGAAATGTCATACGTTAAAAAGTCAGCCTTCGAAGTAAACTTCATGACCAGTATCATCTAAGGCCTGGCAGAGAATTCATGCAGACTACTGTAGTCCATCTCTTGGCAAATACTATGCATTTGTAGTTATTGATTCTTTTTTGAAGTGGCCGGACGTTTTTTCACGATTCTACTTTCAATTTGTGCTACATACTACTTATATCTGTCCACATACGAGGCGCGCACTACAATACCAGTTCATTATACACAGAATTGTACCAAAGATCATTATACTTTATAGGCTAATTTGCTTATATTTTAGTAGTTTGGATCCCATTAGTATATAGATAAAGCGTGTAATACATTTTTAAGATATTCATCTTTCTATTGAATAACCTACATCTTCATATTGATCTTCTAATGTATTGCTTGAAGGTTTGATGAATAATGTGAACTTTAAGATAATGAAGTACTTTATCACATCAAATCATTCAGTTATCTTTTACTTCTTATCAATAAGGATAATCAGTGTTTGACTGGGTTGTTTCAGCTTAAGAGAACTGTGACATTTTCTTAATCGTCATATTTTCTCTGTTCAATTCATCTTATGATTACACTTCCAATTCGAGATAACACTTACTGAGTTCCTAATTACTACATTCTTTTTATTATAATATTTATAAACGGAATATCACAGAGAACAAAATACTAGATAAATCTAATCGTTATCTACTTATGTTACACATTTGGGCTTCAGCTGCTCTACAACTAACCAACATTACCAAACCGCCTGAATGTAACATTGAAGTAAGACTCCCCCGACTCTAATTGAAGTTCAAAAAGCTATAGCTTTTCGTTCATCTTGTTGTTCTGATGAGGTATGGCAACTTGGACCTATGCATTTACGTGGTCATTAAAAGTAGAAGATACTCGTAACTTACTAATATTTGATTACAGATGTTTTAGACACATTGCTCGTATCTGCTGGGATCACCGGGTAAGTAATAGTGAAGATAGACGCTCAGTATTAGGGAATGACGGTAAATTAGTTGTTGAGGTTGTGAATCTTCATCAAATCAGATGGTTGGGCCACGTGGTACGTATGCCTGAACACCGGTTAACACGACGCGCAATGCTGACTAGTGTTGGAGACGGTTGGAAGAAAGTTAGTGGCGGCCAAACCAAAACGTGGCATCAGTGCTTGAAGACACTAACTTCTAGTCTGAGCCATGTTGGTAGATGCAGACTACTTGGTTGGGGTCCGTATGACTATCGTAACCAATGGTTGGAGACTCTTGGTGACATGACTCAGAATCGATCACAATGGCGTCGGTGTATACACGCTCTGTCTTCCTTTAAACTATGAGATTGAAATCGCTTCATTTCTTTCTTTCTACGAACGAATTCTTTCTGTACTATATCGTGATGCACAATCTTTCTTCCATACATTACCACTATTGAAGTGACTATTTCTATGAATTTGGTGTTCGTGTTGTTGTGCTAATGCGGTATGGCGTCTTGGACCGATGCATATAAGTGCCTGGTCCTAGGTCCTAGCTAACTGACTGACTGTTTAGTATAGTTTTCAAGGTGTCAACTGTTGTGTATAGAATCGTTCAAAGTTTTTTATCTAGTGGGCCCATCATTCATTAATTTACGAGGTTTCTATGAAGTGTGAAGCAACAAATGAATGAGTAACATATCGCTTACTCATCAGTAATAAGAATGGAAAGTGTCAAAGTTTGTCAGCTGATTTGTGACTAGTATTCATTAACGGCTAGACATAATTGGTGTTTCACTAGTTGAGATCATGAGTCAATGGAAGCTAGACTACCATGGAAAGCCTAGAAACACCGGACGGCCGTCTCATCCCAGTACGGGACTCATCAGAAGCACGCACCAACGATCCCCCGCGGGACCCAGAGCCTACCAGCCTTGTTCATGATAGCCTAACCACTTGACCACTAAGCCGGCTGGCATCTGACACTATTAATGTCTAACTTTAGCCAATCCACGAAGTTGAGCCACCGTAAACCATTGTCTTCAATGAGTTGATATCTTACAACAGATCTGGTTGAACTCCACTGGTAACGGCTTCTCACTAGAACTCCAGGAGTGTCTCTTGAAGTCAGTCACTAGTGAACAGATGATTATTATCCGAAGGGGTTTTGTAGAGATTGACTCATAATTTCAACTAGTGAAATTTCTAAAATCTCCACAAAACCCCTTCTGAGCATAATTGTTGTATTAAATTTGTAATTCAATAAATACAACTTTGTTGTCAAGACCACAAATACATATTTTCAGTTACTTTTTTGTTTTCTCATCATGATCATAATAAAAATACATCCCAATAATATGACATAATCATATTACAATGATTGTAAATGTTTAATAAAAATTGAATCAAACTTTTGTATTTTAGCTCGATCATTATCATCATCAACACCATCATTGCCATCATCTTTTTTCGATTGATCATTCATTCCCGCCATAATCACATTTCAATGTGGTTTGTCCAATATCCAATGATGTGATTAATACAAACAAATATAATGTGATAATTTCAAATACATTTATAAAACCAATGAAATAGGATGAATAGTCGGTTGATTCATTATTTAGGTAGAAATAATATGGAGTGAAAACAATTGCCTATAATAAATAAGAATGTAATAGTTTATTAAAACAATGTAAAACTAAGGGAATGACTTACCTTTTGAAGTAAAATATAATAGAAGAGTCATCTTTTTGAATTACTTACTTACTTACGCCTGTTACTCCCAATGGAGTATAGGCCGCCGACTAATATTCCCCAACTCACTATGCCGTGGGCCTTCCTTCTTAGGGGCCTACACCCAGAGCCTTTGACCTGAAGGTCTGATTCACAAGGCAGTGGAGCAACGTATGGAGATTCAGTTCAATGGTAGCCGGTGACCAACAATTAGTTCATACATCACTCGTTACTCCTGGATACTGGAGCCCATGTGCACCATTGGTTTGGAATCCGAGTTTTCCAACTCCCCTAGGTGGATACTCCACATCTATCAAGCGCCGGACATTCACATTTCGTCCTCTCGATTTCGTAATAATACCCCCCCTACAGCGAAAATTCATTCAGTAGGATTTCTCTGGAAGTGACTGTATAGTCGTGACCATGTGAGAGCATTCAAGAGAGAGCTGACTCTCTCCACTCTCGGCCATACCAGGTCATTTAATAGTATCATTGAATAGAGATATGTAAAAGCATTTTATATTGGAGAAACATTTGATTGTTTAAAAATAACTGATCAGATAATGTATTCTTTATCAACTAGACGTTACGGAGTTATATAAACTATTGAATTCAATTAGAAAGGCGACTTCAACGAAGATTCTGGCACTGAAACTAACACACCAGTCTGTGAGAAAGACTTCTGTTGAACAACAGAATTGATTTTCATACTGAGTAGTTAAATAGATAATCAAGATAACATTTGTTCCATCAGGCATTACTGATCAAAATGAAAGGTGGAAGAGAAACTAGACAAGAAACTTCATTTAATTTGTGATTGTATGAAATATGTATTCTTGTGAGTGGTACCACTTAAGAACAATATACTTTTCAATCACAAAATGGAAACTATTCAAATATCCATTATTATCCTTTTGTTAACATTCGACTTATAGTTTGTGAAAGCGAGTACAAAGAAAAAACTGGAAGATGGTGATTTATAAGGTTATCAGAAGGTTGTGTTAGAAAAGATGTCAAGTAATAAGTAGTGCAGCCATTAAACACTTAACGGATAGTGGACACTACGTAGAAATCATAAAGGCGTTTTAAATACTAACAATCAAGGAACATCACTTTTATGTCACTTTGAAAAACCTTTTACTACCAAATGCTTTCGACCTGATCCTTGAATACACAAACTAGATAGTGATAAAACTCATATTGACATAGTAAGAAGGTGAAAAGGTCTACTGATGTTCATTCATGAAGTTAACTTTCAATTCCTGTCAACTAGGTGTCGTGATTACCACCTATCTACTGACGATTTATTTGTATTCACTGTCATTTTATTATCCTTTTCAACTGCATCCTCTTCTCCTCTTGTTATGAGTTCATCTTCAACATATAAATACTAATCAATCTTAACTACCATGTAAAATATGTTAGTACTTCTTCTCGTTTCTCATATCATTTCCAACTAAACTTTCAGTCAGTCAGCTATAATAAAGGACTAGGCACATATCACAATTGATTGATCACTGAGTGGTGATCAATCTCATGTGTGTCAAGTCCTTATTCGTGCAGATCGAATGTTATCGACTAAGTTCCAATATGGCCACTAGTCTAGGTGACTCGACAGTGAGTGCACTATGCTGAGATTAGGTGGTGGTTAGAGGTAGTCAACAAGAAACTCTAGACCCAGGTTTCGCACTACTTGGCACTTGTCAGCAAGGTGTATCTTTAATCTTGAAGGAACTAGTGTTCCCTTACGGATTCGATCCCGTGTCACCCAGCTTGACTTGACAAACATGACATTGATCACCACCCAGTGATCAATCAATTGTGATTATATCTCAGTCCTACAGGAGGTCGGTCACTGCTCAGTTAGCTTAGTGGTACCGTCTCTGACTGTGAAGCTGGCTGACAGAGGATTGAATCCTTCAGGGAGCATCAATTCCCTCGAGGTTAAAGATACATCGAGTAGCACAAAACCCGGGTTCAGAGTTTCCTGTTGATTACCTCACACCACCACCAGGCACATATATTTGTCGGTCCAAGTTGCCATACCTCATAGAAGTAGTTAACTACGGTATATAAATATGACTAATATGACTTTAATGCCGCTTACAAATATTGAACACTCTTGAAATATGATGAATTCATGCTATTCAACAAATCATTCTCTTCTTAGGTTCTTTCAAATTATCAAGGAATCAAGATGTATTTTAGTTCAATATTGATATTACATATATTACATAATCAAACTTACAAGTAGAATTAAACAAATCCAACATGTATTGAATAGAATTTCAAAGATACACTAAAATAGTAGAGTGAATGAGAAACAATAAAACAAAGATTTTTAATTGTTGTTTACAAACAAAAGGAATTACTGAATCTGATAAGTCTTGCAAATTGAACGCTATTTTCGTTTCTTAAACTATTCTGTAACCCCCCCCCCAAGCTAGAACTGTACAGCGACCTGAACGCATGACAGAAGGCTCAAAATATTTGAGAAGTACATTACTCCAAAGGTTCATTCCAACACAGAAGATATAGGGTTTTTATAATATTTTAAATGTCCTAGGGTTGCTCCAAGATTCTGAAATGCTACTAAACATAGTAGGAGTGTAGCAATCAGCCAATTAGAACCTCTAAATGTGACGTTTCACTTCCTTGATACATCAGGGTAAAACTTCAAGTGAACGCTGATTGGATGAAACGCTTCTTAGTGTTTTCTGATCCTTGCTTGTCTTTTGCGAGACATTTTCTGGATCACCCAACAGAACCACTCAATACTTTAATGATCTACAATATTCTCATAAAATATGTGTTATATCTAAAGCATAGATTCCTAATATACCGCGAATAACATGATCATTCGAATGCTAGAACTTTCCAAGTTGAAAATGAGGAAACACAAGATAAAAGAAAGGAATGCTATTTCAAACATCGTCAAATATTATAGAAAACTATCAGGTATTTATAGTCTTTTTTTAGTAAGAACGAAATCATCGTGATAGTCATCCAATCCGCATACAGGGGGGGGGGTAGTATTTGTTCAATAGGGAAGCTATACATCGAAATTCTGAAATGTTCTTCGGCTCTTTCTGAACTCCTTAGAAGTTCCTTGAGATCAGCCGTGGACCTTCCTCACAATGTGTAAACATTTAATTCACTGTAGTCGTACAGAAATAATTTAGTTGTAAAGTTACTAGGTGAATGCAATGTATGATTCTGTGTTGGTGTTTTATTTTTTCTGGCTAGCATTTTTTAGCCAGCTAGTTTTCTACCCTATAGGGTCGCTTGCCCGATGCCCACCCTCCTCCTTTATCCGGGCTTGGGACCGGCAATAGCCCCAAAAGGGCTCCAGTCGGATTCGTTGGCCAGACACTATCAGCAGCAACCTATTGCGGAAAAGAACAAACCAGATTCCAGCGGAGGAAGAAATCAGGGAGAAGCACTGGAAGTAAATAGGAAATGCATTTAGGAAAACACTCAACTACATCGCAAGGTAATCCCTTAATTGGAATCCTCAAGGCCAAAGTAAAAGAGGAAGATCAAAGAACAAATTACGCCGAGATATGGAGACAGATATGAGAAGAATGAACAACAATTGAATAGAAATAGAAAGGGAATTCGCAAGACAGAGTGAGTTGGAGAATGCTGGTCATTGGCCTATACTCCATTGGGAGTAACAGCCGTAAGTAAGTAAGTGTTGGTATTTATATTTCGATCAATGGAACATTAGAATGAAATGAATTTAACGAACGTCTTTGATGCATTAGTTTCTATGGATAAAAACGTATCCGACTTATGGTCAATTAATCATAATCTTAACAGAATTGAGAACACTTTAGTCGTAATTCTATCGGAATTCTTCCATATGAAAGTTTTGTTTCGATTATTATGGTTGAGAAACATAACTGATAGTCCGTATAACTTAAGTGATTTGACTGTTCTAATAGCACAGCATTTAAAGTTTGTCAACTGTTGGTCAAGTATCGTTAGAGTTTAAACGAATTTTTGTAAGACAATAATCGTAATAATGTCAATAATGTCAAAAATTCGTAATTTACTATTGCTTTCAAAAATACAAGTCACCAGATATCACTGTAGAATGAAGCTGAAATAAAACGTTTCCAGGATTTTGAGATGGTAGAGAAGATTTGTAGCTCAGGTGGATTTTCATGTAGTTTTATTCTCTGAGCTGGATGATTCGTTTATGGAGCTTTCATCATTCTTTTGAACGACATCATCAACACAAACTTCAGGTGGAGATGAAGTGTACGATTTTCTTCACATGTGGTTCACAACTTGTCCTGTACAGCTCTATGTTGATTGGTTCTTGTTGACCAATGGGAGATAACCGAAACAATGAAGTAAATAATGACAGGTTTAAGGTAAACAAGAACGAATCAACATCGAGGTCTACAAGACAAGCTATGAACCATATGTGGAGAAAGTTGAACATTCCACTACTATCTGAAGTTTACACTGATGATGTCATTCAAAAGAACGATGAAAGCTCCACAACCAAACTATCCAACTCCGAGTTTCCAAGATGAATAATAATCATTGTGTGGATAGTGAATACACTATTAGCATTATCATTCATACTGTAGTGAACACGAACACCAGTGGGGATGATCGAATGTATTCGTCACAAAATTACAGAACTTGTTAATAAAACCATATAGTAAATGCTTAATTTGCAAAATGTTCACCGATTGTCTCATAATGATTCAGACCACATTGTTCTTGCATTTTCATACAAATTGCATTCTGTTTCGATTCTTTACTATTCGATCCTCTTGTCTCTCCGTTGCCAAATATTCTGTTCACGACTAACATCATCGACTACTTATGTCAATATAAGTAGCACACATCACAATAATACTAGATATTCCTATCTCACATATCACTGACTAAAGAACCAATTTAAATGTCATTTGAAATAGATACATTAAACATTAACTTACATAGAAATAAGATAATACAATAGAAAGGAATCCTATAACTAGTAATCCACATATTATGATAAATAAGATCATCTTCCATCTTCTTTGGAATGATGTTATCTTCATACTTAATAAGATAGTAATGATACCCAATACAAATGCTACAATGGCAACCATGACAACGTATTTAAATTCAAAGAAGCCACAAAATAAAGTAACACCAAACGATAATAGATTTGCCTAAAATGAATTATATAAGAAATTAATTAATAGGAAAGCAATACATTTATATAAACAGCCTAAGTGATCAAAATAATGCCATCCAGTTCTTTCAGGTTTTCCATAGTGGTCTAGCTTCAATTGACTCATGATGTCAACTACTGAAGTATATCTATCTATCTATATATGTTCATGCTATACATATATTCTTGTTCATTGAAGTTCCTATTCATCCAACACAAAGAACTATACATGTTATAATATAAAATGAGAAGAAAATCTATACTTCATTAGAATTAAAAGTAACCAACACTATCACAAACAGAAGTCATATTTAAATTCACTTGGTGTTGTTTTTTTTTACTTGTATCTTCCCAATGTTATTTAGGACTATAATTGATCAGTTTCATGATGGCATATGTGCATCCTATGCGGATCGTTTCTATATAGCCTTAAGTCACAAGCTTTTTAGGCGAAGATGGATAGTGGGACTCAAACCCAGTACAGTTCGCTTCAAACTCTATCGCGTTATCCACTTAGCTAGTGAGTTGTGATAACCACATGCTTGTGCAATGGGTTGAAGTGTAAATTCACTTGGTGTTGTTTCTTTTTTTTACTTGTATCTTCCCATTGTTATTTAGGACTATAATTGATCAGTCTCATGTTAGCATATGTACATCCTGTGCGGATTGTCTCGATAGCGCCTTATCGTATAATAAAACCTATTAGAAACTGCAATATACAGTAATCAATTAGTCGACTGACTGTAATCAACATAATTTGATTAATGAGAACTGTACACTAATTGATTGTTACAAATTCAATCAATCACACTGAATAGGATATTCATTTTATGAAAATACAAATAATGATCATGTGAATGATGGTTAGTTTTAATCAGAGTTGGATGGTGGTAACTAACAATGAAATATAGGATGCACATTTCATTCTATTTGGAATTAGTCATCTGAATATATCTACACCTGTGTTAATATTCTCAACGGGACTCGAACTCAGTACTTTTTGTTACACTTTTACGACTTAACTAATAATCTAAATAACCGCTACTTTATGCAATAAGATGAATTTCATTTCATTTTCTCTGAAAATTCAAATGAACTAATGGTAATACCGAGGTTAAACGCATAAGATCTATATATTACCAAAAGAGAAGGATCGGTGAGACTATAATTTATGAACGACCTTTGAGCAACGTTAAAGTGACCTTGAGAGTGTCTACCTGATAACCAGCATCAAATGAGGATTAGAAACCTGTGTGTGTGTGTGTGTGAGGAATTAGAATTATGATTTACAGTTGGTCGTTAACGTTAGAAATTAGATTTAGCGTTTTCATCATGAACTGACATCAGCTATAATGCCAAAACTATTTATTCGAATGAATGAATGAATTTCGCGCCAAAATCCAAGATCTGTTATCTCAAATTTGATTGGTTCGTCTACAAATTATAATCTCGCCAATTACAGTTCATAATATCATCAATGAGACAATTTAAACAACCAATAAAAGTGAAAGAAGAAAATGAATGAACAATCATTATTCTCTTGTGTTTGTAAACTAACTGTTATACCAGCTATGATAGTGTTCGTCAATGTTGGACGATGTAATTTTCTAATCATGAATATAACAAACCCCAATATTAAACCAACAATTCTAGAATATAAAATAAACATATAAAACAAAAATGAATTGGATACTATACATTACATCATTAATGTCCAGGTTACAAAAGAAATCTGTTATGGTTTTTTAGAAAAAGATTTCAATAATGAACACTTGAATCTTGACAACTTTTCAGAAAGATCTATTCATTCATTGATTTAAACACATAAATATTGAGACAAAAGGGGCACCGAATAGATATGTATCATACAAGTCACTTGATTTTTGTGTGGGTTGTTATACTGCTCGGGTTCTCAAACAGAAGCAGGTGGTTTATTTACGGGGGCCATATCCGGCGTTTTTGACTTAAGAGTTTCATCCACAAGGCAGTAGAGTAATATTAGGCGATACAGTCCCAAACGCAACAAAAGATGCAGAAGAAGACGAACAGTGTGGCAGCAGCCTCAGCAGCAGTAGGTCTCAATATACACAAAGGGAAAAGCAGGATTCTCCGATACAACACAGAATGCACCAATCCAGTCACAATTGACGGAGAAGATTTGGAAGATGTAAAAACCTTTACATATTTGGGCAGCATCATTGATGAACAGGCTGGATCTGATGTAGATGTGAAGGCGCGGATCGGCAAAGCAAGAGCAGCATATTTACAACTGAGGAACATCTGGAACTCAAAGCAACTCTCAACCAACACCAAGGTCAGGATTTCAATACAAATGTCAAGACAGTTCTACTGTATGGGGCAGAAACCTGGAGAACTACAAAAGCCATCATTCAGAAAATACAGGTGTTTATTAACAGTTGTCTAACTCCGCCTGCAGCTCTTATAGGGTTACTGCCGGTCCCAAGCCCGGGTAAAGGAGGAGGGTTGGGCATGGGGTTAGCGTCCCCATCCCGTAGAAAACTAACTCGCTAAAAAAACGCTTACCAGAAAAAATAATCCAAACCATTTAAACTCTGCCCTGGGAGTTAGAAGGTCTTCAGTTAGAAGAATTATGACGCTTCATGGTGAAAGCCGAGTTCCTTCGGAAGCCACGAGGCCGATGCCCCTTCTAACAACCAGAGCAAAAATTTTTATAGGTACATGGAACGTTCGAACAATGTGGGAAACCGGGAAGACCAGTCAAATAGCAATGGAAATGAGGAGATACAACTTAGCAGTACTGGGAATCAGCGAAACCCACTGGACCCAAGCTGGACAGAAAAGGCTAGCTACGGGAGAGATGCTGCTATACTCCGGTCACGAAGAGGACAATGCTCCACACACTCAGGGAGTCGCTCTTATGCTGTCCAAAGTAGCACGAAATGCACTTGTAGGATGGGAGTCTCACGGATCCAGAATCATCAAAGCATCATTCAAAACAAAGAAGGAGGGGATCTTAATGAATATTATCCAATGTTATGCACCCACCAATGATAGCAACGACGACATTAAAGATCAGTTCTACGAGCGGCTGCAGTCAATCATTGAGAAATGCCAAGAAAGGACCTAACTATTCTGATGGGAGATCTAAATGCCAAAGTCGGAATAGACAACACTGGATATGAAGATATTATGGGACGACATGGACTGGGAGAAAGAAACGAAAATGGAGAAAGATTTGCAAATCTATGTGCATTCAACAAATTGGTCATAGGAGGCACAATATTTCCACACAAGCGTATACACAAGGCTACATGGATCTCACCGGACCACACTACAGAGAACCAAATAGATCATATTTGCATCAACAAAAAATTCCGAAGGACAATGGAAGATGTGAGAACCAGGAGAGGTGCTGACGTAGCTTCAGATCACCACCTAGTTGTAGCCAATTTAAAACTGAAGCTAAAAAAGAACTGGACAAGTGGACAAACAGCACTACAAAGGTTCAATACAGCCTTCCTTCGAGATACTGACAAACTCAATGAATTCAAGATAGCTCTCAACAACAGGTTCCAAGCCTTACAAGATCTACTGAAAGAAGAAGAAACTACTATGGAGGACAACTGGAAAGGCATCAAGGAAGCATTAACTTCAACGTGTCAAGAGGTTCTGGGCCTAAAGAAACACCATCATAAGGAATGGATCTCTATAGAAACACTGGACAAGATCAAAGAAAGGAAGAACAAGAAGGCAGCAATTAACAACAGCCGAACACGAGCAGAGAAAGTCCAAGCACAAGCTGAATACATAGAAGCAAACAAACAAGTGAAGAGGAGCATTAGAGCCGACAAGAAGAAATACGTGGAAGAACTAGCAACGACGGCAGAAAAAGCTGCTAGAGAAGGAAATATGAAACAGCTTTACGATACAACGAAGAAACTAGCAGGGAAATACAGTAAACCAGAGAGGCCGGTCAAAGACAAAGAAGGCAAGCCAATCACCGAAATTCAACAACAGCGTAACAGATGGGTAGAATACTTCGAGGAACTCCTGAATAGGCCGGCTCCAATGAATCCACCGGACATCGAAGCAGCACACATAGATCTTCCTATAGATGTCAACCCACCAACGACGGAAGAAATTAGAATGGCCGTCAGACAAATCAAGAACGGGAAAGCAGCAGGACCCGACAACATACCAGCTGAAGCACTGAAATCAGACATCGAAGCAACCACAAGCATGCTTTACCTTCTATTCAAAAAGATTTGGGAGGAGGAACAAGTGCCGATGGACTGGAAAGAAGGACACCTCGTCAAGATTCCAAAGAAAGGAGATCTGAGCAAATGTGAAAACTACAGAGGCATTACACTACTGTCAATACCAGGGAAAGTCTTCAACAGAGTGTTGCTGAACCGGATGAAGGATGCAGTAGACGCCCAACTTCGAGATCAACAAGCTGGATTCCGTAAGGATCGGTCGTGCACAGACCAAATTGCAACACTACGGATCATCGTCGAACAATCAGTTGAGTGGAACTCATCACTATACATCAACTTCATTGATTATGAAAAGGCATTCGACAGTGTAGATAGGAGGACATTATGGAAACTTCTTCGACACTACGGAGTTCCTGAGAAGATTGTCAACATTATCCGGAACTCATACGACGGACTACAGTGCAAAGTAGTGCATGGAGGACAGCTGACAGATGCATTCCAAGTAAGGACTGGAGTCAGACAAGGCTGTTTACTCTCTCCCTTCCTCTTTCTTCTGGTGGTCGACTGGATTATGAAGACCTCAATATCTGAAGGAAAACACGGAATACAATGGACAGCTCAGAATCAATTAGACGATTTGGACTTCGCAGATGACCTAGCCCTCCTATCACGTACACACGAACAGATGCAGATGAAGACAGCCAGTGTAGCAGCAGTCTCTGCATCAGTAGGCCTCAGCATACACAAAGGGAAAACCAAGGTCCTCAAATTCAAAGCGGAGAACAGCAATCCAATCACTCTTGATGGCGAAACTCTGGAAGATGTAGAGTCCTTCACATACCTGGGAAGCATCATCGATGAACAAGGAGGTTCAGATGCAGACGTAAAGGCGAGGATCGGCAAAGCAAGGGTCGCATTCCTACAATTGAAGAACATATGGAACTCAAAACAACTTTCAACCAATATCAAAGTGAGAATCTTCAATACGAACGTCAAGGCAGTTCTACTGTATGGAGCTGAAACTTGGAGAACTACAACAACCACAATCAAGAAAGTACAAGTATTTATAAATAGCTGTCTACGCAAGATACTCAACATCCATTGGCCGGATACCATCAGCAATAGCCTTCTGTGGGAGAGAACAAACCAACTTCCAGCTGAAGAAGAAATTAGGAAAAGACGATGGAAATGGATAGGACATACATTACGCAAATCGTCAAACTGCATCACGAGGCAAGCCCTAACTTGGAATCCTGAAGGGAAGCGAAAAAGAGGAAGGCCAAAGAACACATTGCGTCGGATAATAGAAGCAGATATGAAAAGGATGAATTACAACTGGACGGAGCTAGAAAGGATTGCCCAGGACAGGGTTGGATGGAGAATGCTGGTGAGTGGCCTATGCTCCTTCACGAGGAGTAACAGGCGTAAGTAAGTAAGTAAGTAATTAACAGTTGTCTACGCAAAATACTTCGGATCCATTGGCCGGACACTACACTGTTAGCAACAACCTACTGTGGGAGAGAACAAACCAGATCCCAGAGGAGGAGAAATCAGGAAGAAGCGCTGGAAGTGGATAGGATACACATTGAGGAAAGCACCTAACTGCGTCACAAAACAAGCCCTCACATGGAATCCTCAAGGCCGAAGTAGGAGAGGAAGACCAAAGAACACATTACACCGAGAAATGGAAATAGACATGAGAAAAATGAACAAGAATTGGATGGAACTAGAAAAGAAGGCCCAGGACAGAGTGGGTTGGAGAATGCTGGTCAGCGGCCTATGCTGCATTGGGGATAACAGGCGTAATTAAGCAAGTAAGCAGTCTCATGGTAGCCGTTAGCCAAAATAGCTTTATACACAATTTATTCCTTCAGGATCCTGATGCTCATGTGCACCATTGGTTTGGAATGAAGATTTTCCAATTCCTCAAGGTGGATCCTCCATATCCACCAACCCGATTAAAGCGCCAGACATTCGATTTTTGTCCTTTTAGTTTCATAAACAACACCTTTGCTGCGAGAAGTCAATGAGTAGGACTTCTCTGGTAGTGGTTGTATGTACGTAGCCACATGAGAGCATTTGGAGAGGGAGAGCTGACTCTGCACAATCTCGTCCGTACCAGGGCATTTGGATGCCTTTTTACAGGAGATCCTGGACCTAGATTACGTGCTACTGGGCACTCGTTACCAAGGTGTACCTGTAATCTTGAGGCAACTGATACTCCCTAACGGATTCGATCCCGTGTCATCGACTAAGCTATCCGAGCCGCTCACTTATTCAGGTATTGATTGGTCACTTTATACCTTAAAGATCTAAATGTTTGTATTAATATCCAAGGGAAAGAACAACAAAAATGTAACGATATACTATTGTTTTGGTGATAAATTATTTTTTTAAATGTTTATTAAGTGTTTTTCTCAAGGTTAGTATACTTTGAAATTGGATTCTATACAATAGATTCTATAAAGATAAAACTCAAGAGAAGTAGATTACTGTTTTATCCGAGTATGATACTCTTTGTTAATATTAAGTGTTAACCATAAGAGTTTATGATCTTCGACTCAATTTATGGTATGGTTATAAGTGAACACTGTTGAAGAATACCATAACACATATACGACAGTTCATTCATTTCATGATAAAGGTCGGCCTTAATGATTTTTGTCTACTAATTGCTTATAAATATAACGAAATATCATTTGGTAACTTTTGAGCAAAAACAAACCAAATTCCAGTTGTAGAAGATATTAGGAAATGACAATGGAGGTGGATAGGACATACATTACGGAAATCACCAAACTGCATCGTGAGGCAAGCCCTAACTCGGAATTATGAAGGAAAACGAAAAGAGTACGACGGAAGAACAAATTGCGTCTGAAATAGGGGGCAGGCATGAAAAGAACGGAAATCAACTTGGAAGGATCGTCCGGGTTAGAGTTGAATGGAGAGTGCTGATGGGCGGTTTATGTTCCTTCACGATGTGTAACCGGCATAAGTAAATAAATATGAAATTACTCAACATGGATCTCATATAAAAAATGGATCGAAATCTGGAGAACTACATATTAAATTTCAATAGCCTATTACATATTTCATATGAACAACGGATTTATGCTCATCAAATAATGCGTTGGTTTGTGTTTTATATAAATCACTTGGTATTATTTGCTTTTATCTTCCCATTGCTGTTAAGAACTGCATTTGATCAGTCTCTTATTAGCCTATATGCATCCTGTGAGGATTGCTTTGAGTAACAAGCTTTATGAGCAAATATGGATAGTGACTAGTAGTGGAATCCAAGATGTGCGTTTCTTCCTATTTGCGACTTTTCGGCTGAATGTACTTACATCCCAGAGTTGAGTCTCTGAGTGAACACCAACTCTGAGATGCAGATGCATCCAACTGACGAGTCCTAAGCAGGATGAAACGTGCATTCAGGATCCCACTTCTAACCACCATCCCTCTTTGCTTATAATATTCTATTTCTTAGATAACCAAGCAATACATTACCTTACAACTAAATAATAATACTCACATCAATATGAATGCACCTTTGAATTGAGATTTTGATTCACATTTAATAAATTCACTGTAAAGTAGAATATTATGTTATAGAACGTTATTGTAATACTTGATAATTGAACACTTTTCGTACATTTTTGTTAATGTAGTTGACGTAAGTAAATCTGAAATGAAGAGAATGTTACCAAATCTCTTTAATAATAAAAGTTTAAGATAAGAGTATCATATTTTTGACTTACTTCACCAAGCTACTTTAACAAATTTCTTCATCGATAAAGTTTTCTGACTAAACACTGACCAGTGAAGTTCAACTGGGTCTGTTGTGAGATAATAACTCACTGCCTCCAAATGCTTTGTTACGGCCAAGGATGGGGAGAGTCAGCTCACCCTCTCCAAATGCTCTCATATGGCCACGTGCATGTAACCACTACCAGAGAAGTCCTACTCATTGACTTCTCACGGCATTACTGCTGTTCACGAAACTGAAAGGACAAAAAGCAAATGTCCGGCGCTTTACCCGCGTTAGTGGATACGGAGAGTTTACCTAGGGGAGTTGAAAAACCCTGAGTTCAAACCAATGGTGCACATGAGATTCAGGATCCTGAAGGAACAAATGGCGTATGAACCTATTGTTGGTCACCTGCTACCATGCGACTGCATCTCGTGACATTGCTCCACTGCCTTGTGGATTAGACCTGGGATCGAAGGCTTTGGGTGTGGTCCCCTAAGAAAACCTCCTGCTTGGGTTTGGGCATCCAGGCAGTATTGTGGCCCTCACACATATCGAATGATTTGTGTGGCGTATATCTATTTGGTGCCTTTTTGTATCAATGTTTATGTGTTTAAATAACATAATAATTATACTAACTCATTGAAGACAATTGTGGATGTGTCGTTCAATTTCATGGGTTAGCTGAAGTTAGATATTAACAACATTGGATGCCAGCCAGCTCAGTGGTCTAGAGGTTAAGCGTACGCTCACGAGACCTATAGATCCTGAGTTCGAATCTCGTGAGGTGGAATCATGTATATGCATTTCTGAGGAGTCCCACGATAGGACGAAAAACGGCCATCCAGTGCTTCCAGGTTTTCTATGGTGATATAGCCTTAATTAAGTCATGATCTCAACTATTAAAATTACTATAATATCCATAAAAACAACCCTTCTGATTTCAAACATTAACTGACTACATGTGAACTTGCATAGATACAATTTCAATGTTTTATACTTCGTTTATAAAATAGAGAGATAGATCATTATGTCTATGAAATATTTAGTTGACTTATATTCAGTGCTGAAGCCTTGAAGTTGACAACTTGTGAAGTGAACACAAAAACTGATAAAAATGGATTTACTTGACCATGGAAATAAAACGAAGTGCTATAGGAATACATTCATATCATTGATTTTACTCACAATTAACGATTAGTTAACAATGACCACATATAAGGAAATTATAAGGAATTACTATTAAGGTAATCTTGTACAGAATTAACAATGAGTTATCAACATCATTTTGTTGTTCTATCCTGTTACATCATCATATTACGCCGAGAAATTGAGATAGATATGAGAAGATTGAACAACAATTGGATAGAACTGGAAATGAAAGCCCAGGACAGATTCAGTTACAGAATGTTGGTCGGTGGCCTATAATCCATTGGCAGTAACAGGTGTAACCAAGTAAGTAAGTAGGTAAGTAATCTCGTTATATCATAAAAACCATAGTTAAAAACGAAGAAACTTCCTTAATATGTTACAAAATGCTTGTTATTACAAACCTTCTGTAATGAATGACAATGTAGTTTATTATCTAGTCAATTAGTATAACTGAATCAACTTACTTATACTTGTATACACATAGTCTATTCTATATGAGTATGAATTATTGATAATTCAATACTGTCTTGTATACACTTTACCCCCGTTTAGAGTTGATCAAATTGATTTCATAATAAACAACCCTTGTACCAATTAATAGATGCATATAATGACATATTCTTGTACTGTACTTTAATATGTTAAATGTAGTGTATTAAAGTCGATGAAATTTGTCGGTCACTTCAAAAAAGTTGATTATAAACATTGAAAAAAATGTTAAGAAGATTTGAAATGATGTTTAGTGAAAAATTGATCAAAGATTTAATTTTGAAGTTACTAAATTCCTTACTCCTATTACCCGTCGTGGAGGAGCATAGGTCACCCACCAGCACTGTCCATCCAACCCTGTTACGGGCAATCCTTTCTAGTTGTTATTCATACTTTTCATACCTGATTCTATTTCCCGACGTATTGTGTTCTTTAGCCTTCCTCTTTTCCTCTTCTCTTTAGGATTCCAAGTTAGAGCTTGCCTTATGATGCAGTTTGATGATTTCCGTAATGAGTGTCCTATCCACTTCCATCGTTTTTTCCTAATTTCGCCTTCATTTGGGAGCTGGTTTGTTCTCTGCCACAGAAGGCTGTTGCTGATGGTATCCGGCCAATAGATGTTGAGTATCTTGCGTAGACAACTATTTATAAATATTTGTACCTTCTTGATGGTGGTTGTTGTAGTTTTCCAAGTTTCAGCTCCATACAGCAGAACTAACTTCCTTGACGTTCGTATTGAAGATTCTCACTTTGATATTGGTTGAAAGTTGTTTTGAGTTCCATATGTTCTTCAATTGTAGGAATGAGGCCTTTGCTTTTCCAATCCTTGCGTTAAAGGTATAATAGATTAATAAATATATATATTTCGCATTCATAATTTACTAAACAAAAGAAATCGAAACTGACATTATGCATTGATTTAGTGTAATACTTATTCAGTATAACATATAGTAATATATATGTGTAGTATTCATTTGTATTGATACAGTGCAAAATTCACATTGTTTTCTATCTACCTCTGCTGTGTTTTGTTGTCTAATATTCATCGGATAACAATTAATTTCATGTCAGTCAGTCAGTAACAACGAAGAATTTCGTACGTATGTACATACGTTCAAGTTGCCATACCACATTAGCACAGAGATACAGTTGTCGATTCAAATACCGTAGTGGTACAGGTAGTAAAGGTATAAGCAGTAATCGGAAACATTAGGGTTTGAAGATGTTATTCAAGGAGTATAATTCAGTTAAATAAATTTGAAAAGAGAAAAAAAGCGACAGGGAGGAATCAGGAGATTAAAATTTGGAAGAACACAAAGAGTGGATGCACTTGCGCCATTGCATATGATTTTGAGCCATGTCATTCAGGGTCTCTAATCATCGAATGCTATCACCTCGCGGATCACGACGAGGTAGTCTACACCTATCAACATGGCTCAGTCCACTTGTCAGTGACTTCGTAGATTTGTGACACGTTTTGATCTGGCCGCCCCTACCTTTTTTCCAACGTACTCCTAACACCATTGAACATCGCACGTCGAGGCAGTAGGTGGTTGAGCATACGTAACACGTGTCCCAGCCATCTCAACTGATGAAGTGTCACTACTTCATCAGTTGATTTGCCATCCTTACTTAGTACCCATTTCCTAACAACTGCATTACTTACTCCATGGTCCCATGATATACGAGCAATATTTCGAAGACACCTATGATCAAATACTAGTAACCTACGAATATCCTCTACTCTTACCGGCCATGCTTCACTGCCATAAAGTAGGACGGAACGAACTGCTGCGCAGTAAACACGTTCTTTGGTTGACAGACGGATAACTCGCCTACGTCATAAATGACGCCAGTTTGAAATTAAGTTCATGTATAAAACACTGTATTTTGTTGAAGACCTTCTTCATGGTCTTAAGCAGAGAATAAACTTCTCTGTCCACAATCAGTTTTTATCTTTTCTTTCTTCTTGTATCATATAAACCTTCATTGATATTGTTTCAAGTTCATTTTGGGCAATGACAATTTTAAGTCAGATGATCACCGAGTAATAATATCTATATCCCGTTGCTATTCACTCTAAGACTGAAATGAATTTTATGGGCAAGTAGTACTACTCACAAATTAAATGGCATCTATCTTCAAACTCTCCTACGTTTTATAAGCCTAGATAGATGATGATTGGCGGTGGAATCTTAGACGTGCACTGCGTCTTATTTAAGACTCATCAGCTCGATATATACTTACATCCCAGAGTTGATGTTCTACTCTAGGATTGAAACACGATAACGTTCACTTCAAACAACATAGCGTTATCAGTTACAGCTATGAGAAGATTCAAACAACCAATACAAAAATGAATTCATATTTCTATTTCTTATTTCGATCACTAATACCTTATGGAATCCTCAAGGCCAAAGGAAAAGAGGAAGACCAAAGAACAAATTCCGTCGAGAAATGGAAATAGACATGAGAAAAATGAACAAGAATTGGATGGAACTAGAAAAGAAGGCCCAGGACAGAGTGGGTTGGAGAATGCTGGTCAGCGGCCTATGCTCCATTGGGAGTAACAGGCGTAAGTAAGTAAGTAAGTAAGTAATACCTTATGGAACAAATGTAAAATTGATTACTTATTTGACTACTATGTATGAAAATAAATTCTGTTGTTAAACAGAAGTCTTTATCATAGACTGATATGTTAAATCTCTGAGTGTAACCGATAAACTAATCAATCAATAATATTACTAACTGCCCAATACTTTGATTTGCTTTGATCTTGATGTGGCTATGATCTGTTTATTTTGCCGGTCACACAAACTTGTGTGTATATTTTGTCATTGATACTTAGTTGAATTGATTCACTTTCTGTATTCACTGATTACTGTCATGTCGAGTCACTTTAGTCCCTCCTTTTCCGTTTCAATAGATTGTATTTATTGTTAATTCTATACTAACGGTGGTGTCAGTTTCTATATTAGAGAAAAATTTTTCCAAGCCAAATAACTTACTTAGTTTCGATGAACAGGAAGTCGATAGAGTAGGGATTAGTTTAAAAATCCTTTTGTAAGAAGTTAAATCACAAAAAGTTTTAAGCAGTATTTTTATTCTTATCAGGGTAACCAACACATTGACTAATAAGAAGACTAACAAGAAGTACTATAACTCTAACGAAATTCCAGAACTATTGTGGTGCGTGCTACTTATATTGATATAAGTAGTATATGACGCGAGTCAGGAATGTAATGTCTGGCAGCAGAAGATTGGGAAGATCAAGAAAGGAAAAATAGGAATAGAAAGCAATTAGTAAAGAAAGGTAAGAACAATGAATTTCGAGACAATTATTGAACATTTTGCAAATATTTTACCAAGTAATGTTGTGCTAAATACAATTCGGTCATTCACACCTGTGTTCTCCTTCACTACATTTGGTGTTGCTTCCAATCAGGAGAGGGGAAGGGCGCTGTTCTGCGGACACCGCTGTGGGCCTGGGGCTGAAGTGATAGTTGGGGCAGTTCATTGTGGAGAGGTGGCGTCGAGTGGAGTGTTCTAGTAAGGCGGCGTTGGCTGTGTCAGGTGCTGTCGACGGAGAGGGGAGGTGGGAGGTGTGGCTGCTGGGTGGACATCGGATGTAGATGGCTTAGCACGGGTGTTAAGCGTCCCAGGTTCGGATGTTGTTGCACCGGCAGGTCGACGGAGCTGTAGAGGTCAGCGCGCCGCAGACTCGACATTTTGACGGAGAGCGTAGCGCAGACTGCAGAAACGAAGAATGTGGCACGGCGAGTATGAACCACCGCAAGAACGACTGCTTTAAAGGGGGGAAGGAGTGTGAGGTGTGCTACTTATATTGGCATAAGTAGTATATGATGTTAGTCGTGAACAGAAGGTCTGGTAGCAGTGAGACAAGAAGATCGAACAGTAAAGAGTCGAAACAAAATGCAATTTGTATGAAAATCCAAGAGAAGTGCAGTCTGAGTCATTTACTAAATGATTTTATTAACAAGTCCTGTAATTTAGTGACGAATACATTCGATTGTTTCCCATTAGTGTTCTTGTTCACTACAGTATCGGCTATGTATTTATTCATGTGGTTTTTTAAGTTATTTTGAACAAAAAAGTCGGAAAACGGCTTCAGCTAAATCGTCTTCTCTCCTTCTTCGCTTATAAACCCAACATGTTATAGGTCAGTGGTGGGATAGTGTTAAAAGTTTCAAGATTGTACAGATTAAATTGTCACTGCAGCGCCTTAAACTAGATCGCGACAATTTTTTTCCCACCATATTAGGCACATACCAGTGGACAGAGAGGTCAAGAACATAACACATTTGCAGTAACTAGGACATAGAAGGGGTTATTTCGCCTTGTCAGTTATCTCTAAATAACGATATCTAACAGATAATAATCTCTGCAAATCACAATGATTGTAACTAGGTTCGATGATAATTAAACGTAAATAACCTAGCATAACGTACTTAGCTTTGAGTCACTGTGTTTGCATTATGCCTAGTATAACTTACTACTAACTGCTGAAACTAAAGTAAGAAATAAGAGATTCGAACCTACAACCTACTGATTACAACTAAGAGCTCAACTTATTCGGTTAGAAATGTGATAAGTCTTCCAACTGAACGCTAGATTCGGTTCCTAAGCTCTTTTAGTAAACCCCAGGCTATATCTACACAGCGACTTGAACACCAGAGAAAAGGCGGGAAATATGAAAGAAACGCTTTACTCCAAAGGTTCATTTATGTACAGAAAATCTAGGGTTTTTATAGTATTTTAGATGGCCTTGGATTTCCAGAAAAATCTGGAACACTACTAAACATAATAGCAGTATAAGTAATCATCCAATCAGAAACTCGAAGTGTAACTTTCCACATTCTAGATGTTCCTGGCAAAACATCTACTGAATGCTGATTGGACAAGATGGTTTTCAGTGTTTTCAGAGACTTTGTTGGCTTTTTAGAGGAGTCTTCGGGATCTCACCAAGAGAATGAATCTTTGTTATTATCAATTTTTGCTTGTAACCTATTATCAAAGCACGTTTAAGTGACATCTGAATTTGAGCTGTTTACAATCAGTTTCGATTTGACCATATATTCAAATCGATTTCATGGAATGATTTAACCAATTCGGTTTATTTCATTTCAGCTTAATTTTAATAAAATATCTTCTAATAAGTACAAGAGACTATCTTTAATACACACTCATTCAATTCACATAATCAACATGCAAAATATATCAATCGTCTAACAGATTGACGTGAAATCCTGTTATTGTACATACTTATGACAACTTGAAATGCGTTCGTGATCCACCGTCACATCTTGGAGGGTTAGAGATGCATCCTGATTTACGTGTGCTAAAATACAGCTTTCAGAATCGGAAGGTGACTAAAATACACAGGCAGAAATAAAACATTTAAATTGGTCTAGGGTTAGTGAACACAGACTAAGACGCCCCCATGCTCTGTTCACTTTACCATCATCAATGGATATCTTTAAACAACTATAATGAATGCTCTATGGGTATGATTGTTTAGCAATAATCTTTAGAAGGATAATAACTATATCCTGAAAATTAGTGTCTCTAGACAATTCCGGCAAAATGAAATTCGCATAATTGACATATTCATTTGTTCCCAACTTCCTGACAGCACGAACTTTAATATCACTTTCCAGATCACCCAATTACATTTCAAACAAATCTTCATATTTGTCGTATCCATGTAATTCCATTTTCGGTATCAAAACTGGTTTCAATATCTTATCAATTGTATTCGAGAAAACTGAGGAAATTGGTGAGTTACTTTCTACGTTAGCACGTCAGTTCATAGAGTTCAACAACTGACATATACATTCCTACAATTATTTTTCATCACCCTATGAGTAAACCACAGACGGAAAAATTGCTTGCTTATGAAAGGAGATAAAAATACAAGATCACTATTATTCCAATGACGGAAAGTAAGAATATAAAGGACTAGTGCAAATGAAGATTTCTTCATTTCAAAACACGACAACCCCAGCAAGAAATACATTTAATTATGTAATTATTTGTGCATCCATTTAATTATTGATTGGATAAAGGTCACATGTATGAAAAATGCCCAGAATTATAACAAAATTCCCATGCTGAATATAATCCATGTTTCAATGAATATCATATTGGATAAAAATTTCACTGGAAAGGACATCAATCTTATGTTGAACAAATTATTACACTGAAGACCAATACCATTCTGAGCAGTTATCATACTGAATTAAGAAAAAAGGTAATATTCAGTAACAGTTACAGAGAATTAAAAGAAAAACGTGATCTCGTATTTTTATTCGATTTGGTCAGAATGATCTTCACATGAAGAATAAAATAATCCATTTTGAGCAGCAAAAAAGTTTAGCCTCTAACACATTTTCTATGTTAATTCCGCTACTTGATCGACGCTGAATACGGCTTACAACTGAGACACTCAGACGTTGGAACTTCACCGTCGTAAATCAGAAGACAGAAGAAAAGTTAGAGAAGTGTTTATTTGATAAGAATCGAAATGTACAGAAAATCACGGGTATTTATAAATATTAGCATTTGTTAAATCAACATTATAATTCGGTCAATCTGCAAAGAGACATATTATGCTACTGCCCAATCGTGGCATGTTGATATTCTAAAAAGCTCCATCATGTTCTGATTGGATGGAAACTCTTCGGCTGCATTAAGGCCTCTGGAAGTTCCATTGTAGTTCTCAGAAGCCAACTCAACAGTCTATTTATCAGCTGCCTTACTACTTTAAATCATATGCTACTAATCATAAGAAGAATGTAGTTTAAATAAATATGTGAATTCATTCATTGATAATTGTAGTGAAACATGTATTGATAATTTGCATGAAACACTCATGAATATATGAAAATGTCATTATTTGCAGTCGTCCAATTCTACTACGGATATACAAGTTTCTTTTACACATGCCCCAAACCAGTTACTTGAATGAAAAAGCCAAAAGTGAATAGGAGGGATTTTATTGGTTTAATGGAATGAAGAACACATATGTGGAAAACTCATCGATATTAAGAACAAACAGGTTACTGAATATTAATAAGTAGTATAAGGTAATATACAAAATGAACTGGTTTAGAAGAGAATAATGTAGAAGATAAAGATTTGAAAAAAGGAAAGAGTATGATTATACCTACACTACTGTAAACAATTCTGAACTATGTCAACTAATAAATCGAGTTTTAATTACTATTTCCTGAAATGCTGCAACGTATTAGTTCAGTCTCCTTTAGTCTTCGTCCCAATATATTCTCTACACTAAACAGTATTGAGGTTAGTGGTGAGTGTTCTAACGTAATACGCAACTGTAGATCATCTTAGTTAATGAACGTTTACAACCTTTACCTAATACTTTACACACAACCTACCTACCATACATGAGCAATGGTTTGAATAGATCTCTCGTTAAACAATACATAACCCTATGAAAGTAAGATTCACATTTCAAAGCAATAAAGTGAAACAAACTAAATTGTATACACGTCAATCGATAAGCAGATAGATACTTTTCAATAGGTTACCAATATCAGAATTCGATGAAACTCAAATGAGCTTTACAAATCCCTGTCTAAACTTCATCCAACAACTAACTTTTGAATAGTGCATAATCTTCAGAAAAGATAACAATTTTTGAGAAGAAAAAAAAGGTATAAAAGGAGTAGATATAGAATAGAAAAAATTATTACACACACACACACACACGCATACATACATACAAATAAATTTACAATTCGGGATGTAATTTCTTAAATAATTCATCAGGATCTTCATTGCATGCAGCTGGTGTAATCAATTGCATAACATATTCACATCGAGATGGTTCATTCACTGAAGTCAAATGATTTGAATCACCACAATGGACAAACACCTAGAATTTCATTTTCAAGAAATGAAAATTGTTTACATGAATGGATATTAACAAGTTTAAACGATAGTACAGTAATCCTGTTTTTTAAGTAGGATTTTGTACATTCAAATCATTCATAATACTGTTTGTCATGTTTTATGTAATTGGAGATAGTAAGCAAGAACTTAAGATTTAAATCTTATATTAGTTGATTCATGTCAGTGAAACATGCTTGAGATCTTGTAGGAATAACTGATGTTCTCTGCGGAGATTCAAACCTATGTAAATTGGTTTCACAGTCTAAGATAATTACTAGTGAACTGTTCAAGTTGTAACTGAACTCCTGTTGTCATATCTTCGAGCGACAAATTAGTCAACTAGAATACAACAAGTTAGTTACTAATCTCAATGATAAATTATGATTCAACTTAGAATATTCGATTTTTTCTTTTTGAATTCGTCTAAAGTAAGATGAAACTGTACACAGAACTTCCACTTTCATCTTTGAACATGTAAATCAATCTAAATACAACGAGAACACTATTAGGCAATAATAGTATGCTATTTTTTTACAGAACTCATAGAAAAGTCAATAAACTAAATTACCCGTCAGTCTAAATGTTTGAATACAAAAACAGACTCCACAGAAGAAACACTCATCTCATTGTTTATATTAGGTTATTATTGTAATATGTACGCAGAGGTACATTTCACATTGAACACTAAGACCTATTTTTGATTGTGGCTCAACAAGTGAAAATTTCGTCACATCAATCATTCAAACACCCCTCCCTTCATAACAATTGATACCTTCTCTAGTTACATTGAACAATTTACTCAACATTAATACACAGATCAGAAATGGGTTCTTATTTATTTATTTGAACACATAGATACTGGTACAAGGGGGCACCAGATGATACATATGCGCCACACAAATCTCATTTGATTTATGTATCGATTTTCAATTAGCTAAATTAATTATACACCATTCAACTCATATGATGTTTCAAATTCATAAAAGCATAATGATGTATGGGCGAGAATGATAATGAGTAGTTGTTTGCTTAGTCGGACATATAGATAATCTGATAGGTGTTAAATGAGTTATATATTCTTCTGTTCTTATTACTGATTGTTTATCGTTGTTGGATTGTGTCGGGTTTTTGGTGTGGAAATATATATATTTACGTTCTCAACTGTATTAAGTTAGTAAAATTTGTGTTATGAGTATTATGTAACCACAAAACTAGTCATTGATTTTCATTTCATTTCACTAGGAATGTGAACAAGTCAGTCGATCAGCCATAAGCAATATAGAACTTGGATATTTATGTCTAAGGTAGTCTAAGGTAGCATACAATATCAGCATGGCTCAGCTGACCTTTTACAACTTGCATCACGTCCGCCTTTCAGTTAACAATCCTGAGGTTATGCATCGAGACAGAGATGGAAAATTAGTTAATAAGGCAGTGAATCTTCATTAACTGAGGTTGTTGAGACATGTGCTAAGTATGCTCAATCACCAGCTGCTAAGACAAGTTATATCGTTTGGTGTAGGAAGTAGGTTGGTAGAAAGCTAAGGGTGGTCAAACCAAAAAGTAGCATTAGACATTGACAGCTAAACTGACCTATGTAAATAGGTAAGAAATATCAGGTTGGGGTCTGTGCGATAATTGTAGCAAATGAATGGAGTGACGTGACTGTGAATCGTTCGCAATGGCACAAACGCATTTTCTACTTATCCTTCCTTGGTTCTTGAATCCCAAAATCTCCTTATACCGTTTATTACTTCCTTTATACTAACGATATTCTACTACCATTACTAATACTAAAACTGTTTTTATTACAATGGGATTCGTTTTGATAATTTTATTTCGGTGTCTTGCTGCCTTCTCACGCCACCAAATACTAATACTGAACCAGTCTTTCAAAACCACATACACCATACAAACTGTCCTCCTTCAACGTTCTTTTGCTAATGCAGATCGGACAACAGATAGATTCGGATATGCCTTTAGAAAGTCTCAACATCGATGTCTGTTATATGTTCGAAACGTGTGTTCAAAAGTCTAGTGAACTACTACACATTCGCTTCTCATCTGTCGATTCGAAAAATTAATTTCATATGCATTTATTCCAGGACCCTGTGATATCTTCGTCTGGTTTTGTTGGCGTTCATACCACACTGAGCACCAGAGATGAAACAACACAAATCGACCGGATCCCCATCAACAGTCATTTACGTGCTGTAGGTAATGGTGGTGTGGATCTGTTGTCTGGTGAAAGACTTGTCGACCTTGAGTTTACGGATGATATTGTCTTACTGTGCGATGATACCCAAGTCACGCAAGAAAGAACAAATTCGTGAAATAAAAAGTACAAGATAACTTTAAAACTCTAGATGTACGGGAAAACAAAGTGTTGATGTATCTGGGCTACTGAAACGATTTTGAACTATGTTAACCAGTCTCTAACTACTGGATAAGATAATCGTGCGAACTTCAACCATGTACTTTGGACTCACCAACACAGTTCAGTCAAGCTATCAATGACTTGATTGACTGATATAAAGTTTGATCTGTTCACCACTATTTTTTGTCCAACCTACTCCTATACTAGCTATCAGCTCTCATCGAAGTCGGTGGTGTTTGGGCATGAGTAATCCATGTTCTAACCACCTCAATTTTAACAAATGTATTACCGATTTAAAGGTCAAATACAGAAATAATGAATTAATTACTCGAAGAAAATCCTTCCCTGATTAACATAAAATACTAGTATTTGAAATATCATGTTCTGCCAGTATATAATCGGCATTTGCGAAACGAACATTACCCTATCTTTCTTCTTTCAATGGATCCTTTAGTACATCACGTCTCCAAGCTTTCAAATGGTTAATCTACAGACTACACATTCAGGTGAGTTTATTTCTTTTTGTTGAAGTGAAGAAAGCAATTTTCCGATTACCGTATATATTAGAAGCCCATAAGGTGCCGTTGTCTGTTTATCGTAAGCTGGTACTGGGCTCATACAATTTAAAGATATGTTCTTATTTAGAAAATTGAAAACAGATTTAAGCTATATTTCAGATGTAAAGGTTAGTGGTATGAATGAACTTTCCCAAACCGAAGAAGGTGAAGAGGGAATCGAACAAGCAGCTTAATAATTGTCCCCACAGTTATAGAGCTACACAAATTATACAGAAATAATTTGGCATATAGAGTAAGATGACTGCATCATCAAAATAACTCCATGAATAAGGACTGCGAATACAAAACAATTTCATTCACAAACAGAAATTAAAATATCGTAAGCAGAGATGAATAGTGATTAGCATTGGAATCTAGGACACGCGTCCTGTCCTACTTGAGACTCTTCAACTGTATGGACCTGGAGTGAGTTGATGTTCACCATTGGACTCGAACCCAGTACCGTTCGCACCAAACGCCATCACGTTATGCATTTAGCTACTGAGTTCAGCTAAATACTGATTAATTACAGTCATAAACATCAACAGGAAGATTTAAGCAACCAAAACAAAAGTAAATTAGAAATTGAAACATTTCGAAAGCATACCTTGGTAGTTCTTGTTGGTCCATTCCAACACTGTTGACCATTTTCGTAATACATAACTTTATAAGACTTTTCATACTCATCAGATTCTAACCAACGACCCCATCGACCTATACATGTTCCTGGATCAGAATTCGACGAACCAATTGATTTTTGATGAACTGATTTAAAAGGACAAAGGCTGTATGTGTATTCTCGATCGTTCAACTCTAAACAACCATTTGGTAATTCAGTAAGCATACGAAAACCTTCTTCTGGTCCATAATCAATAGGAATAGGCGTTGGTATACTGTAAAAAGTATAAAAGGAAGTAAACAATGTATATATTTATGGACAGAGAGTAAAACTCGAATCAATCAGACACATTCGATTAATAGAACAAAATGTATAATTTTCCGTTTACGTTATTTTTGAGGCAGTAAAAATTCCATATGGTCTAATGAGAGAATAACTTTCATGAGGTAGCAACTGACAACAATAAACAAGCATGCGTAACCAATGCCATGCGGAAGGAGAAACATTAGCCTTGAGTAGTCACACTTTGGTGAGTCTGTATGTTTCCAGTGAGTATTTATCAAATGGTCATCTTATAGTAAATTTATATGAGACTAACTGTAAGCTACCTTTTAATTCATTAATCGTCTGCCGTTTATCAATAACAGTTCCTTAATTACAATTAATTACAGATATATCAGGAGATACAGTCCCATGGTAGCCGGTGACCAACGATTGGTTCATACGCCATTTGTTACCTCAGGATACAGGAGTCCATGTGCGCCATTGGTTATAAATTAGGGTTTTCCGAACCCCCTAGGTGGACTCTCCATATCCACCAACGCGGGTAAAGCACCGGACATTCGCTTTTCGTCTTCTCAACTTCGTAAACAATACCCTTGCCACGAGAAGGCAGTGAGTAAGACTTCTTTGGCAGTGGCTGTATACGAGTGTCCATGTGAGAGGATTTTGAGAGGGGGAGCTGACTCTCCCCACTTTTGGCCACACCAGGGCATTCGGGGGTACATAAGGATTTTTAAATCCAACTAATCACATGACGGATACAGAAACGTAGACGAAAATACGATTTTTCTAAAAAAAACAATGGACTTGAGAGATAATCGATTTAAATTTGTACCTGATGAGTTATATAATTCAACTGGTGATTATGTCTAAATTTTCATTAAACTATTGGATGTTGTATCCAATCAAAAGTTCGTCTGTTCCGATGATTCAGCTCAATTTGAAGATAACAGAAGAATTTGTATGTGTAATTAGTCATTTATTTACGTGATATTCTGGCACAAAACTTTATAACTGAAAAGAAAGTTAAATTTTCCAGCCCATTTAGTAAAGGAGTAAACTGGTTTACAACTAGATGATTCATGATTTTGAAGTAGCACAAGATGATTTCATTGGTATACAATTATTTTGTAGAAATGAATACATAAGAGCAGTTTCCTCTGTTTAAATTCTAGGAGGAACAAAATAAGGACGTTTATGCAAGATCATGAATCGAATAAAGTTAGATATTAACATCGTAGGATGCCAGCTCAGTGGTCTAGAGGTTAAGTGTTCCCAAGAGAAACCGAACGTCCTGGGTTAGAGTCCCGCGTGAGGGATCGTGGATGTGCACTGCTAAGAAGTTTCATACTAGAAAGGATCATCCATCCAGTACTTCTAGCTTTTAAATCGTGGCCCAACTTAGACCGACTCATGAATTCAACTGTTAAAATGACTACAATTTCTACAAACCCCCATTCTGAAAATAAGAATTTATAATCGAAAAATGTTTTTGAACTATAAAGATAAAAGTGAATATGTCAGCTGATGAAATGTATTATAAGAGACGATTTAATAAGGTGAGGTAAAAACTTGCGAAGTTAATTTTTTACAACTTTATTTTTATATATACTGATTGTATTTTTACTGAGTATTCTGGGTTTTTCTACTTAATTATTACCCTAGTCCTAAGTTTCTGTTTAAACCGTAATTTGTTGCTATAGCATTTTCCAACAACATTGGTTGTTTAAGATCATCAACGCATATTGGTTGGTTTTAGGACATAACAGGAAGCAACCAATAGAAAACTCTTGACGGACGTTTCATGCCAATTAACACTCGTCTCTAAGATGGACTGATGTCAGCTAGGTGAAAATCGAGTCCATACTACAATTTGAAGTGTTAATATTGAGTTATTTGGGCTGTGACTAATCTCATATAGGAGAGACATAAATACGAATTTACCAATAATAAGAAGTTAATTTTATGTTAGTTTAATCCTGACTGCTATTTACTGAATTCTATTAATCAAATTACAAGTTTCTCGCTTGTCTAGGTAACTTGAAAATGCGTAACTTACTTGTTGACCTTGGTGGATTCTTTATTGAAACACATAAACATTGGTACAATAAGGCACCAAATAGATATACGCCACATAAATCATCCAATATATGTGAGGGTTACAATACTACCCAGATGCTCAAACCCAAGCAGGTGGTTTTTTTATGAGGCTACACCCGAAGCCTTTGACCTAAAGGTCTAATCCACAAGGCAATGGAGCAACGCCACGAGATGCAGTCTCATGCTAGCAAGTGACCAACAATAGGTTCATACGCCATTTGTTCCTTCAGGATCCTGAAGCCTATGTGCACCACTGGTTTGAACTGAGGGTTTTCCAACTCCCCTAGGTAAACTCCCCGTATCCACCAACGTGGGTAAAGCGCCATATAGCCATGTGAGAGCATTTTGAGAGGGAGGGCTGACTCTCCCCACCCTCGGTCGTACCAGGGCATTTGGGGGCAAAGCTGTGGCGCCCGATGGGAGGCTCGTGATTGGAGATAATCCTTCAGGTGATATGCATAACTTGGATGTTTTTTATCAAGAAAAAAACAAAACAAGTTCTTTCCTTATTTTAATGATTTAGTTAATTGTAACACTCTATATATATATGGTCATTTTTAGCATATGATCATATTGAAATGGTGGAGAAGATTTGTAGCTCAGGTGAATGATTTTGATGAAGTTTTGCTCTCTGAGCTGGATGGTTTGGTCGTGGAGCTTTTATCGTTCTTCTGAACGACATCATCAGCACAACAAGAACCAATCAACATCGAGATGTACAAAACAAGCTGTGAAACACATATGGAGAAATTCGAACACTTCACTTCTATATGAAGTTTGTGTTGATGATGTCGTTCAGAAGAACGATAAAAGCTCCACGACCAAACTATTCAGGCTCAGAGAACAAAATTCCATCATGATCATATTGAAATAATTCTGTCTAAAAAACTAGTATGTATCATGCACCATTATTATGCTATAAAGGTTTAGATCTTATATGATGTTGTAAATAAAATTAAGATCTTAATCATGACCTCATTAAAAGAGATTTAATTTTGTTTAAATTAAATCATTAATTAGTATTAATAAAGGTAATGATGATTGATTATGAGTTACTATGGAACTAATAAGTGTATCATTTTATTAATTCTGTATTTCAAAATGAATTCTAATGTTTTTTAATATAGGTAGATAATCATTACATTGATTCAAATGAACACCTTTATAATTAGAGGTTTAAAGAATATATTATAAACCTGAAAAGTATAATAGAGATAATAATTAGAAGATTCAATTGTGTGAAATATGATCAGTTAGTCAGTTGTTATCATCAACGTTGAACTTGGAAAAGATGTAAGTTGATCCAAGTTGCCAAGTCACATTAACATAACAACAATATAATAAGTACAAGTGAGAATGAGGTGAAAATAATGGTGACTGTTGGGTCGGTGTCCGATAGTGTTAATGGGTAGAGATCAAGTGTTTGCACGTGAGATTGTAAGTTATGGATTCAATTACCGGATGCGGAGTCATGGATGAGCACTCTTTAAGAGTTCCATACTAGGATGAAATGGTTGTTCAGTGTCCTCAGTTTTTTTCACTTATGGTATAAGATTACTTTATGATTTAAATAATATGTAAACACTCTACAGTATTCTTTTGTCAGCCTAATCATTTTAAACCTATTCGAAAACATGCATAGGTCTATTAAGTTTAATTGTATTCTATTGTCTTTATCAAATGTATTTACTGGTTCGTATCTGAATAGCAACGAATGTATCCGACTGCGTTGTATTTATCAAGCTGATTGTTCTATTAAATAAAAATAATATATTTGTAATATCCCAATGAGTAGAAAATTGGATTTTTCTGACGTTTCGTGGCTTAGTGTAAGTCACTTCTTCAGAGAATAAATAACCAAATTAAATTAATCCAAGTTTAAATAGTACAACGGAACAATGCAAGAATAATATTTGATCAATCAAAAACAGGTCTGAACAAGTTGATGTATGTCATTTCTGTCACGGTGATTCATAAGTGATAAGTATGTAAATTTGTGTATGTATGTATGTGTGCATTGTTAAAGAATGAAAACTGTGTGACCTATATGGTAAGAAAGGATAGAGTTTAAATTTGTAATATGATAGTGTGAAATTGTAAATACGATCAGACTGAATGGTTAGGATAGATGGTCCAAGTAGGATGTATGGTAAGGCCTTCTTTTCTATTGAGAGAAGTGGGATTAAGCATTATATGGAATGCCTCAGCTACCCTCCTTTCTTTGTAGTTGGAAAAGCCTTTTTGCAATATTTTGATATTTTTAAAATCGATTTGGTGGTTGTTGAAAATGGCATGAACTGCTATTGCCGATTTAATTTGAAGTTGGTTCAGTTCTACAGGATTGTTAGGAGGTTTCTTTGTGTACCTAATATGTTCTTTGGCTCTAGTCAAGATTTCGCGGGATGACTCTCCAATATAATAGGCATCACAATCGATACAACCTAATTTGTAGACGCAGTTCTGTGTGGACATGAACGGGATTTTTTCTTTCAAGCGAACTAAAGTATTACGTAGTGTGTTCGTTGTTTTGTAATACACTTTAATTCTGTGATGTTTTAAGATTCTTTGAATTTCTTCTGTTGTGCCATGACGGTATGGTAGGACTACAGTGCCAATCCAAGGCATTTCATTCGAATCATTATTATAATGTAATAAACTGTGTTGTTTTAATATGCTTCTAATAATCTTCATAGGAAAATTATTAAATTGTAAGATGCTAATTATATTCATTTGTTCTTTTTGTTTGTCTTCCTCTGATGTGATGATCTTGTTAGCTCTTCTAAAAAGATTTAAGGCTAGCGAGATCTTAGCACTGAAAGGATGTGCTGAATGGAAGTCAATATAACGATTTGAATGCGTCGGCTTTCGGTAGATGGATAGGTTTAGACTTCC